TGTCTGTCCCCTCCTTCCCCAAGACCTCTGACCTTGACGCGCCGCCGTCTTTCTTTCATCAGCATCAATCTTGACCGACCCCAAACATAAGCATCTCATCAAGTATCACGCGGCTCGCCTGAGTCTTGGGATTTTCCTATTTTCCGTCGCGGCCGATTGATTCGAAGCCGTTGTGGCCGACGCCCTCTTCCCAGCAGCCTGCTTCTACTACAGCTACGGGATCTAGTAACCCAGAAGCCCGCGTCTACGAAAGCTTAAGCTGTTCATCTTTGGGAAGTAAATCAACTATCGTTCGCTCCACGTCCTTTTCGAACCCGTCACTCATCCGATTCCGTCATGGCTTTTCGCGCCCTCGCGCGCTCCGGCGCCCGCCTGAGGAGCACCGCTCCCTGCCGGAACACGGCACGTCGCCACGGACTGTCCGGCCCAGCCTCTGAATCACCACGTTCAAACTCAAACCTCCTTCACACGGCCTCCTCGGGGTCTTCCAAAAGGGGCGGCCGCTTCATCGCCCTCCAGCTGCTGGCCCTCGGCGCCATACCCCTCTTGGCGGGGTACCTGCTCGGCCGATCCTCCGCCGCCGCCGCCGCTTCGGCCCCGACCGCGACGTCGCGGAGCGAGTTGTCGCAAGTCGACTTTGCTGACCGGAAGGAGATGCTGCGTGTAAGCTCCCGTTCCTTTTGCCCGACCGAGTCTTTTGACTTGGAGTGAGGAGAAGAGCTCACGCACGTTGCAGGCGGCCGACGAGATCTCGGAAGCGCTGGGCAAAGACGCCGTCAGCTTCGACGAGGACGAGATCGAGCTGCACGGCCACTCGGATTGGGCGACGTCGAACTCGAGCGGACGGCCCGTCGCCATCGTGTACCCCAGGACGACGGAGGATGTCTCTCGGATAGCCAAGATCTGCAACAGGCGTAGCGTGCCAATGGGTGAGTTTTTTTTTTTTTTTTTTTTTTTTTTTGCGTGTGCTCGGCCAGCTGATCCTCGTCCGCTCCCCGGCGAAGGCGTGTTCTGCTGCTGAGACTAGGGGGGGGGAGAAAAGCTGACGGCTTCCTTTTCCAGTGCCGTACGGCGCCGGGTCCTCCATCGAGGGCAGCTTCTCGTCGCCCTACAGCGGCATCTGCATCGATTTTGTGCACATGGACAAGATGATCGCCTTCCACCCCGACGAGTAAAGTCATCCCCATACAGCCCCCCCAAGAACACGCCGCCTTCTGACACACGCCTCGCACCGCCCACAGCATGGACGTCGTCGTCCAACCGGGGGTGAACTGGGTGACGCTCAACGGGGCCATCCAGGACTCGGGCCTCTTCCTCCCGCTGGACCCCTCGCCGACGGCCACGGTCGGCGGCATGGTCTCGACCAACTGCAGCGGCACCAACGCCTTCCGCTACGGCACCATGAAGGACTGGGTCGTCGGCCTCACCGTCGTGCTGGCCGACGGCCGCGTCGTCAGGACCCGGCGGCGGCCGCGCAAGAGCTCGGCGGGGTACAACCTGACGGCGCTCTTCGTCGGCGCCGAGGGCACGCTGGGGATGGTGACGGAGGCCACGCTGAGGCTCGCCGTCGCGCCGCGGGACACGGGCGTCGCCGTCGTCTCGTTCGCGACCGTCGACGAGGCGGCGCGGGCGGCGGCGCGGGTCATCCGCTCGGGCGTCCAGCTCGGCGCGCTCGAGCTCATGGACGAGGTGCAGATGCGCGTCCTCAACCGGCACGGGAGCGAGGCCGTGAGGAGGACGGCGTGGGACGAGAGCCCGTCCCTCTTCTTGAAGTGGGTTTTTTTTCTTCTTTTTCTTTCTTTTTTTCTTTTTTCCCCCTCAACACCGACCGTTGCGAAGGGGAGAGTAAAATGTTCTCGTTGGAGATTTCGTTTTCGACGGCTGACGGTCTGTTTTGTTGCACGTCCGACAGGTTCGCGGGGACAACCGAGGGCATCAGGGGGGATGTCGCCCGGGTGAAGGAGATGATGCAGCCGTTCAAGCCGCGCAAGATATTCTTCGCCAGGGACAAGCAGGAGGAGGCGGACCTCTGGGCCGCGAGGAAGGAGGCCCTGTGGACAGTGACGTCCATCAAGCCCGAGGGATACTCGCTGTGGTCGACGGACGTGGCCGTGCCCATCTCGCGGTTGGCCGAGATCATCAGTGAGTTTTCGGACCCCTTCCCCCCTCTTCATCCCTTTCCCGTTGATTCAAATCGCTGCTTATGATGACTGACGGGCGAGAGCAGCCTTGTCGAAACAAGACTCTGGGAAGCTGGGCATCTTTGCCAGTGTCATCGGCCACGTCGGCGACGGCAACTTCCACCAGGCCGTCATGTACGACCCGAAAGACGAGTCGCAGCGGGCGGCGGTCGCCAAGTGCGTCCACGACATGATGAGCAGGGCGTTGGAGATGGAGGGGACGGTTTCGGTGGGTTGACACGGCGCCGTTATAATGTTTTTCTCTCTAAATGTGGCCGCACAGGGCGAACACGCGATTGGCATCGGAAAGAAGGTAATCCAAGTTTCCGCGCCATGGGAGAGGGGGGCGCGGGGAGTGACATACGCCTCCGCCGCATCTGTTGACCACCAGCTGACGCGCGTGTGCAGGACTGTCTGGTGGACGAGCTTGGGGACGAGGCGATCGATTTCATGAAGGCATTGAAACAATCCGTGGATCCCAAGTACGCTCGACCGTCAACCCCGCTGCATCATCCTTGTGGTATGTATTGACCATTTCCCAGGTGGATCATGAACCCGGGCAAGGTTTTTGATCTTCCCGCCGGTTCCAAAGCGTCCGCGGCCAGATGAACCCTGCGCGAGCGATCTCGCGATGGAAAGGCGCGCGAACTCGGATGGAGCCGACGTTGGGCCAGGGCATGGTCCATGGAGGAGCAGCGGCGCCGTCTTTGCATCCCCGTGCTAAACCGCCACTCCCCGCGTGTGCTGTCCGCACGTCGGCCGCGACTCGGTGGCCGACTTTCCAGAATGGTTCGAAAGAAGGGCCTGAAACCCGCGTCCTGCATCTGCGGAGGTCGCGTCCGTCGCAGCCGGTTGCAGCCAACGCAACGTGGGGGCCCCGCGGAACGCCCTCCTTGTTGCTATTTCTTGCTATGTATACTCCTTTACATGCCTCCTCGAGGGCCAAGTCTTGGGGGGTTACAGAACATTGAAAAGGGGGGGGGCTTTTTGGGTTGTCCAAACCAACATGTGCCATGAACCTGTGCCTCCCAACAACGCGTTTCACCCATGTTTGCTGCCCGTCTCCATTCGTAGCCATCTCTCTGCGAGCAGCTTGTGAATGAAGCCGTCTCTGGCCCGATGGCGGCCCGCCTGTTGGTGCATCTATCCCGTCACGGCTCACCCGCTCCTTGAGTATCTGCACTAGGGAACGAATGCCAAACTAGTGACGAGCACAGAGAGCGATCGCGGGCAACGCCGGTTTACTCATCGGGGTAAGACGTATGTTGCGAACCAAAATCAACAGCACGAACTGCCCCCATACCGTCTGCGGACTTGGTCCGCGGCGTATTCCAACGGCTTTGAGCGCCTTCAAACCGACCGACGGGTACTGAGGTGCAAAACCATTACATAGAAAATGACCTGGCCCCCCCGACCTCACCGAGGCAGTCTGTCCTGGCTTGGTGCTATATACCAACCATCGCTTATGTGAACCAACACCGTCGCGATGCCTCCGACATGTCTATCACTATTATGGGCGCTCGTCCTGCTATGCACCTTTGCTGCTGCTGCTCAGACTCCGGTCGAGTTGACGGTGCGCAACAGCCCCGGCAAGACGGCCTTGGAAACGCTGCGACGACACCTTCAGGATGCGAGAGTTGAAGGGAGGGAGGAGCGGTTCAGCAAAAGCACATCGTTGGACACGAGCTTCGACAACACGGTCCTCTTCAAGTTGTAAGTCCAACTCTCCCCGCCCAAAGCTTGCCGTGAGGGCGGAGAGCACGATGACTGATGCATCGTCCGCCACTCCAAGTGAGGACTCGGCAAAGGCCGGGAACGAGAATGTCACGGTACAGGGCGGCATCGGCATCGTCTGCGCGCGGTGCTACATCGAGGGCGAGGCCGTCGCCCACCTCGCCATCGACGGCACCTTCAACGCGACCCAGGCGCTCGGCGAGGTCGGCGGCGAGCTCGCCGAGACCTTTGACAACATCACCGCGTACGCCAGGGACTAATACGTCTCCGGGGTCGCGGCGAAACTGGCCGACGGCCTGGACGCCGACGACTTCGACCTGCCGCCGACGTCCCGGGCTTCCCCGGGGTGCGGCTCGGCTTCGGCTTCGACGGCCTGGGGCTGTACGTGCGGCTGGACGCGGCGCTGTCGGCGGGGCTGAGCTACAACGTTGTAAGTTGCGCTTCTTGTTGGCGCCCTCTCAAGAGACCAATATTATTCCCGCCAGTACAACAAGACAAGGAAGGGAGAGGGGTATCATCTTTCAACCCGGGATGCGGTCTCCATCTGCTTGCCTTCCTTCTCCCCGAGAATCTTCCTGTCGTCATCCCCTGCTTTTCGTGAGCATGTTCGAGAAAAGTCTCGAACCTAGCCTTTGGAGTTGAAGAATCCAATGCAGCCAACGTGCAGCTAGCAATCATTTACTTCAAGACTGTATATGCTGGCGGGGACTGTGGGTCTTTGGACACGCCGAGAAAGCCGCTCATTGCTGCGTAGACAACAGGCATGGTTGACGACTTTTACAATTCAAAATAAAATAAAATAAAAGATCCGGACAGACAACAGATGAATAAGGGTTTTGGCCAGAAGCTACTGTAAGTGCAAGAGGCCATGAGGATCAAATGTACTGAATCAGAGTTATAATATTATACGTGTTATTGTCTAGTTGCGACTTGTGATGCTTTCTTTGTCTGCGGGATATAAGTGGCGCAGAGTGATGACTAAGCAGACATCATGCTTAGTCATTGTGCTGTGATGGGCGTTTTTGATGTTTTGTCCGAAATCATCTATAGTTTTCAAATATGCCTTGTGTCCACAGTACAAAAAGCGGTTGTGTAGTGTAGTGGTCATCACTCCGGATTTTGATCACATCAAAATCTAGTTTTCCGGCAACCCCGGTTCGAACCCGGGCACGACCTCTCTTTTTGACTTTTTGTCTGCGGCGGCTCACACATACTTTCGGGGCAATTCTTACCTAGTTATTCCTTCTTTTCCAAATGCTTTCTTTCCTTTCTCTTGATTTCCTTTTCTTGATTTAAAGCATACACGTTCTGTATTGTTTTCTTGGCTGCCCCGGTACTGACAATATCCGTACTTACTGGCCAATCCGTTACAGTTTTATAGGATGGACATGCATTACGGTTACTTGCAGGCATCGAAATCCCCTGTATGTAATGTAATGCAGCCTTAGATGCAGACTGAAATCTGCCATTGAGAAGCACCACCCCTGTAGTGTTCTTTTTCTTTATTTTCCTTTCTCTTTTCCTTTTTTCTTTCCCCCCCGGATCGATTCGAAGCCCGCCGCCCTGGGATCAATCAATGAGGTCCTTTGACTTGTTCATTCCCCATCGATTTCCTCAAGTACCTTTCTTTGCACAAAAATATGCTCTCTGATCAGCGTCGGCTGCTAAGCGGTGTGAATCGCCAACAGCCGATATAATCAGGTATCATCAACCAACGACTCCAAAGATCCTGTCGCCCGGATTGAGCCAAAAACAAAACCGGTCTGGCTTGCTCAGTCGGGTATCAAATGATGATGACGTGGGCTGGCTACATTAAACGCAGTCTATTTACAGTTTCTCCGCGGTGGCCTGAACCACACACACCTTTATCCTTCACGTCTGCCGCGACTCTCCATTCCTCAACTGATCCAGGCATTCCTCCGCAGACGCCTAATTAGCCAGCGTTCATCTGTTACGATCTCGCCGCCCACGCGATCAGCGCGGCCCCGACGCCGCTGCCGTCCCTAGCCATCCCTATCTTGATCGCCCTGTCCCCGCGCTCGCCGATCTCGGGGATCTCTCCAAGAGCCTCCCGGATATGCCTCTCAAAGTTGGGAAAGTGCTCAACCAAAGACCCGTCGACGCCGACGTCAATGGTCTCACCCTCGTCCTCCTCGCGCTCGCTCGCGCGTCCGCCCCCGGGCCCGCGCGCCGGGCCCGAGGACCGTTTTTGGGGGACGGTGACGCGGGCCTTGACCCGGAGCCAGCTCGCCAGGAACCTCCAAAGGGTCTGGACGCCGTAGAGGATGGGCTTGAGGATGTTGACGCCCGGGCCCCGAGACGGCGGAAGCGGTCGCGCGGCGGCCTTTGGCCCGAAGATCCCGGACTGGAGGGCGACCCCGGCGATGGCGACGGCGGACAACCTCGCCGACCTCCGGCCGATCGCCTCCGAGAGAACCTTGATGGCTTCCGCGTCGTTCTTCGAAACGTGGGCGGCCCCCAGCACCCGTGATATCTCGCCGCGCGCGCGCTCCAGGTCCGGGGTGTCGTCCCTGACCACCGCGGACAAGAGCGAGCTGTCGATGCTGTCGGGCACGTGGAGCGACGAGCCCCGGGAGACCTCCAGCTCGAGGATCCCCGGCCGGGTCCGGATCACGTCGACGAGGATGCGCCTGAGTATCTCTCCCAGGTACATGCCGGATATCCTCTTCTCAAAGTGCTGGTCGTCGGGGTTGACCGAGTCCCGGTCCAGCTCGCGGTCGTACTTGGTCGTCGGCAGCACCTCGAGCTTGCTGTCGAAGCCGCCCCACTCCGTGTTGAGCGCCATCGCCGCGCCCGGCGCCGCGTCGCGGAACGCCCTCGCGGAGGCGCGCAGCTTGGCGATGCGCGAGACGCGCTCCATGTAGGCGCCGTTGGTCCCCGTCCCGAAGATGGCGCCGACGACGTTGCCGGACCGGCCCGGCGACGTGTAGGCCCGGGCGGCCAGCGTGCCGACCGTGTCGTTGGCGAGGGCGGTGACCAGCAGCGGGAGCCGCTGCTCGTCGAGGGCTTCCTGCAGCATGGCGCAGGGGTCGCGCCCGACCGCGTCGGCGATGTCGAACGACTTGGTCCAGTAGAGGAGGGTGCCCCTGTCGATGGCGTGCTGGTCAAAGGTGAAGCTGAACGTGAAGCCCAGGCTCTTGCAGTGCTTCTCCCGCGCCTCTTCGGTGACTCCCCCCTCCTTCAGCACGCGGGCCCACGTCTCCAGGTCCGAGGGGCGATGCTCCTCCAGGAACGCCTTGATCTGCGAGGCGATGAATCCGAAGAGGTCTTTGTAGGTCGGCGCGGTCATGAGATGTCTCGGGATCACCGCCTTGGACTGGGTGAGAGAGTATGTCGAGTCCCCGTTCAGCTCGACGGAACACACCCTCAGGTTGGTACCGCCGAGGTCTACGGCCATGCAAACGCCCCTCTCAGAGCCGTCGGGGAGGTTTGTCACAAAGGACGGGATCTGGCACATTGAGGTGCCATCCCGCTGGAGCCCCTCGTCTTGGTCATGTTAGCTGCGTGTAAGTCGGCGGGAAAGGGACGAAAGGATCGGGCACTGACTAAGCTGCTTCAAGAAGTGGCGTGTCGCGCGACGGACCTCTTCCGCTGGGAAGTCGAACTCGTGCGCGATCCTCCGGGCGTGGGCCACCGACTCGGGGACCCGGTCTTCCCTTGATTCGGCAAAGGACATTTGGGGCGCCGATTTCCCGCAGAGAACTTGAGTAAGTGTACTTGCTCTGTGTGTGCCTGTCGGGACGCAGTTGTTTGTTTTCGAAAGCTGGGGGAGGGGTGGGTGTGGGTTGTTCATGGGTGCGCCGACGCCTCTCTCTCAGCAGGTTAACCCGATCAAGTATCCAAACATGTGCGGCAAAGTCTTTGGGGGGTTCGCGCCGGAGAGGCTGGGGACACGGCACGACGAGAAGTGACGGCGATCAGCAGAACGCCATATAGTCGAAATGGAGCCGAAACGACACCTGTTGAGTCGACCGCGGCCCCCCTCTTGTCAACATCACCAACCCGGCAAACGCGGGCCGGGAATGCCGGGTGGGCCGGTCCAAATTGCCCAGAAATTCCCTCCAATGACGGTTCTCCGGCCTATCAAGAGCCCAGGTCCAGGCTCTCTCTCTGCGTCAGCCGTCTGAATCTTCAAAAAGCCGGTGGTCCCCGGCGCAACCGGTGAACGACAAACTCATCTCCGATCCCACCTGTTTTCGCCGGCCCCCCCGACAGAGAGCCCAGCAATCCAGGGGCACAGGAAAGCCGCAAACGACCTGCGCTCCCCCCCGCAACGAGTGCTGCGCACACTAGAGTGGGACTTGAGAGGGTGTGTCGGTGCATAATAAACTTATTCACAATCTCAGCGCAACAGGCCAGAGAACAAGATGGCGACCGGGCCCGAGCCGGAGGAGTCGGGCCTGAGCAAAGCCCGGAAGGCGTGCGGTAAGCCGTGACCCTCCTCCTCCCCTCCCCTCTCCCTAATGACACCCGCGCCGCCTTGGTGGTTTTCGTGGCTGCGGTGGCTGATGCTGCTCGTGTGCCGACTCAGTCAATTGCAGGAAGCAAAAGGTATGTTTAGTTGAGAGACAGACACCTCGTCGTCAACAAAGTCTCGGCTCTGACAGGCGCGGGGGGGCCTCCCCTCCCCTTGACGGATGTAGATGAAATGTAGAATCGAGAATGGGTCCACGTGTCGGAGATGCTTGCGGGCAGGAGTGCCTTGCGTCTTCGTGCCCCGAGCCAACGTACGTGCTTCTCTGTCCTTTGTCGCCTTGTTCTTTCGGCCCGGTCTGACGGGTTATCTTGTTGTAGTCGGCGTCGCATCGTGAGAGTCTCTCGCTGGCGTCCTTCCTGCAGGCGAACGAGCAGAGCCCGCTGTTGGACAGGTCCGTCATTCTCCGCCTCAAACGAATCGAAGAACACCTGGGGCTGCCGCCCTTGAGCAACGTCGACGAGGCCGGATCGCCCCCGTCTCCGGGGCCGATGATGGCACCGGAGCCGGGGACGCCTGGGGAGAACTCGCTCGGCGCCCTGTGGGGTGCGGTTTCTGTGCTCCGAAGGAGCTGCTCCTCGAACGTCGGCTCAAACATATGGGACAAGGCCACGATCAAGCGCCTGTGGCTCTCGTACGTTTTTTTTTCGCTATCCCCGTCACCAGCGCCAAGCTGCTATTACCCACCGGAACGCCGCCCACGCTGATGAGCGACTCGCAGGTTCCACGAGTCCATGCCGGGGCTGCACTTTCTCCCGACAAAGCAGACCTTCTCGTCTCCGAGGCCGCTCATGCTGGCCTCCATGCTCTACTGCTCCAGCATCAGGGGCTCGCCCGAGGTCGCCGTCCTGGCGCCGGACTACTTCGCCGTCCTGTGCGGCGCCATCTCCCAGCTGTGCATACCGCAGAGCGAGGTCGGCCAGACCCCCGACGACAAGGCTTCCGCGGAAGAATGGGCGTTCCAGACCGTGCTGGGCATCATACTCGCCGGCCTGCTGAGGGAGGCCGTCGTGAAAGAGACCGGGGTCTGGATATCCCTCGCGTACCGTCTCATATTGGAGCACTGCCCCTCCCACACCGATGAGCGATCCCGCCAGTGGCGGCGGCTGTTCTCCGGGCTGCAGGTATGCTTTGCTTTTAGCCCCGCGGTCGTCGGGCGCGGCGGCTGACAATCTCGCAGATCGTGGATCTCGAACACGCGTCGATCCACCTGTCGTGTCCCGTCATCCCCATCGAAGCGCCGCTTCCGAGACTGAAGATCCCGCTGCAGGACCAGCTATATCGGCTGTCGCGGATGATGCACACGGGCTTGACCCACTTCACGGGGAGGGGCCTCCCGACCATCTGGTCGTGCTTCGAGACCGAGCCCGGCGCGGCGCAGATCTCCTCCGTGTCCTTCAGCGGGGTCGACGGCGCCGTCATCCGCGACTGGGCGCGGCAGCTGGACGACTGGCTCGTCGAGTTCAGCGACAAGGACTTTGACTCGGAGCACGAGAAGAGGCTCGTGTTCCGGCAGTACATCCTGCACCGGCTCCTCGTCCTGTCCATATACCACCCCGCCAGAGGCTGCAACCTGTTCTCGAACACGACGCCGAAAGAGCAGCACGAGCTTTTGGTCTCTGCTAGAGCGGCGGTCAGGCTTCAGATGGGCGACTCTTCGATATGGTCCAACTGGGACTTG